CCTAGAATAAAAATCTGACCTTCAGTTAAAACACGTTAGATTAAGATAAAAGACAATTTGTGATAACAGTCGACCCCCCTATAACACTGTTGATTATTCCGTTTTATATGAATTCCATGTTGTACGAGTCACTTAGATATTACAAATACGTGTGCCNTTCGGGCTACTTGTATTATTGTTAAATTCATCAAGCATGATAATTTTATGTAATTAAATAATTTCTCCTTCGTAAAATCAGTCTAAAAATAAAATGCAATATATTAAACAATTAAACGGTTATAAATATATAGAGCAGTTTATTAAAAATAAGAAAAAAAACACACATCTCAGTCCATAATTTACTATATATCGATAGGTTATATATAGCTAAAGAAACAAGCGTAACAAATTCAGTTTTTCGAACGTTTTATTAAAAAAATGAATAATTAAATCACTCAAAAATTCAATAAATATTTTAAATTATATATAACTAACTTTCTTTATCCATTACCTTTTGGTCACTATCTTTCACAGGGCAATAGGACAGTCAGATATGAGGAGTCTCATTATAATAAATTCAGACCGCTTATGAGAATTTTTCAGGGTCCAATTCGGACAAGAGACTTGTAAATTTACTTAATGTTTAAAATCAGTTGTAAATTTACAAATCTCCGATAAAATATTCATAAAATCTAAATAAGAAATTGAGATATTTTAATGAGAGTAGGTCAATGAAGTGTTTGAGGTAAAAACTGGTCCATCCAAGGTTAACGTGCTTTTTATAATGATATTCTAAAATAAGTTAAAGAGTTCTACGTACAGTACTTTCTATTAAGTCCCCGAAGACTTTCTAACTGCGCTTCATTTAACGTATTCCAGTAATTACGTGCAAACATTTGTCACTAAGTCTGACAAACCATCCATGAAAAGTATAGTTTTACTAAGAAACCGTTTTAATTAAGCCAAAAAACCAGATAAAAAAGCTGCCAAATTTGAAGTAAAGACTTTACTTAATGCTTCAGGAGAATTAAGGACGTTGGATGATCATACTCTTTCGGGCAAACCTGGCCCAGATAAGTCTAACAGACAGTGTATGGAATCGTAAAAACTGAACCGAAAAGTCAGGCAGATTTCAGAAATTTCGTGTGCAACAATTGTTTGTAGTAAGTTAACTTTAAAAATATAAAAATATTTATGAAACAAGTCAATCCTCGATGCCATTGTAACTTACAAATTTTGTTTTGTTCAAAAAATAATTGCTGGAATAATAAATTAATCCGGGATATTAATGCTTATATTTCACCAATTTACATGGTATTTTCTTCAGATTAAATGCAGGTTACTTTGGACAAACAATTCTCAACTCAAATGTTTTCTTTGTTTGTTTAGTTAAGCAACACTTGGGCAATCTGCCTAGGGGAAATACAGTACCTTCCGGTAAATCTTTTTAAGGGTAACTGGCCCCTATTCAGGCGTTACGGATGTGGATAAAACCCGGAAAACTCCACGTCCTGGCGAAGCGCGAACCAACGACCGAACTCCCAGTGTTCAGGGAACGGAACCGCTTGGCCACTAGTGGGTCATCTTGTTTTGTCGAATATAAAATGAGCTTAAGTGATTAAAAGTTGTTCTAATTTCTAAACAGTTAATTTAATTAGTTCTTTCTGCTATAAGTTTAAGCCGATCAGGACAACTGACCACGGCCACTGGTCTTCAGAACACTTACAAAGTGACCATCAGGAAAATGATCGCTACTAACTGACCTTCGGGATAACTGCGTTAATCAAGGAATATCTGTATATATATATATATAGATGCCCTTTTTTTATAATCTGCGGGCAACGCTGTATACAGGACTGTCAAGAGGTAGGAGCTGGAGATTTTTCCCAGGGCTCTAAGACAACTTAAGGGCCTTAGTGGTTCCTACCCCTGATAAAATAATGTTAGTTTTAATAACAGAAAATGAAATTTTTAAGATTGCTTTTTATTAATAAAGAAATATTTTACAATACGTATTTAATTTGTTCAAAAAATAAATAAATAAAAGGCAAAAGTGGTTGCCTTATTCCAGTGGTATCCAAAGTGTGGTACGCGTACCCAGACGGGCCCAGAGGGTACGCAAAGTGATACTTGGTGGTACGCCAAGTTTCCCTAATATAATATAACAGATTACCTACAGATCTGTGTAATAACATATTTAGCATAATCTACGTAATATCAGTGAAGACGACCTAAAATAGCTTATACTCGTATTTTAAAAAGGTATTAAAGATTTGTTGCATTTAACAATTGAAGCCCTCGAGGGCGTATAGTGGTAACCCTCATAATCACGTATCTGAGGTAACTGAGTTTGAATGTTCGAAAAAGTCCTAAAATCGTATGAATAGTTGAAAAAATTTCAAATACCAATATCAAATATTTTTTTACATTTTTAAAAATTATGAAATTTGGAAAATATACGTCATAAATTTCTTAAAGATTACAGATAATAATATTTATTTATTTACGCTTGTTAAGAAATGCTACGTTTATAGAAGTAATAGTATCTTATATAAAAACAAAACAGATTTTATAACAGACACAAAAGATATGTGGATAAACATGTGGACGAAAAAGTTTTTTAATTTTTTAAATAATAGCGAAGTTGCGGCCGAAGTATTCATCTGTAAAACGTGAACGTCGAACGTCGAGCGCCACTTCTTGTAAGCGGCGCTCGACGTTCGACGTTCACCAAGAAGCGGCGCTCGACGTTCGACGTTCACGTTTTACAGATGAAAACTTCGGCCGCAACCTCGCTAATATTTTATGTTATTAAAGTTTATTTATTACAGAGTTTTAATTAAATAAAAAATATAAATTAAATTTCTTATTACAAAATATCAAAAATCTCAGAATATAGCGCTAATTACTATTACGCCGGAAGTAGAAAGCACGTAACGGCAGTATTGTGTAATAAGAAAGAGACAATGGATGGAATTTATTAAATTTTTAAAGTTATAATTCATTAGTAATATTTATATACAACATCAACATTCAGGGCCTTCGAGAGACTGTATTGGGCAGGCACCTTTTGCCTCTTAGCTGACCCTTTCTTGTTTTTTTTTTCATAAATGAAATATTTAGAAGTTTTTTTTATTAATAAAAGGCAGCTTTAAAAAGATTTCGTTTTCTGTTAGTAAAAATAACGTTAATTTTTATATGGTTTAGAATCACTAAGGCCCTTAAGTTTTCTACGAGTCCAGGAGCTCTCCTCCTCTCGATGACTTCGTTACTGTTCGAATAGTAAGCTACGAAGGAATAACTTACTGCAAGTAATATAAGCATTTAGTGCAATAACCTCGATGAACTTAAGGAAAAAGGCCCTTCTGTAGCAAATCAGTTCACAAAGATTCGCAATGATGTTCTACTTCGCTCGTTACAAAACGATATCTGATGACGTCAAATTTCTTAAAATAGACAGCTATACCGTATTTTCGGCAACAAAGAACGTGTTTAAGCTTTAACTTAAATGCCAAAATCCAAGTTTATTATGAAAAGTATACTTTTAACAATAATTCATGCGTTATATTTTTCTAAAAATTAATCAAATAAAACATAAAGCTCCCTAAATTACTAATAAATAAATAAAATTTAAAATTACGCTCCTATTTTATAAACTAAATTATACAATATATATACAGTATATTTTTAATACCGGATATATCACATGTTTATAATCTATTTACTAATCATTTTCATCAACGATTAAGTATTTAAATAATAAAAGTTGTCTTTTCTCTAATAAATTTTTGAGGTTTTACTTTACTATTATTTTACACTGTGTACTATTAACAAGTAAGATGTAAACAAGACAAGGTTAAACTTACCTTCCCGCCCATTTGTATATGTGACTACACGTATCCGTAATAGACATGAAGTACTGTACAGTATCACAGTTTGTATTACTGCTTTAGAATCGAACGTGATAAGATAATCAAGACGGAATAAAACAAATATATCTTTTTTTCCTGTATATTACGCTAAATTATATGTTGCCACGTGATAACACTTCTCGTGAAGGAAATGACGTAAACTGTGACGACATTCAGAGAAGATGCGGCATATATCTGATGAGATTCGTTAATAATTACTGAAAATATACATTTAAAATTACCTTCAAACAAAATTTATATATACACTATATTATAAATGCTATCAAATCGACAAGTAAGTGGTTATTTTATGAGATCATCACGTGACTTGACCTTACGTAGGTCATCCCATTCACTAAATACAGAAGCAACAACAGTGCTAAATCACGTGAAACAACGCTAGGGTGCGTTGTTTAACGCGACTTCCGTAACACTTCGACCGGAGGTCATGACCTCTTAATAAAGTTTATTATGACACGCCTTTCATCAGACGTTCAACTAAAATTGCGTTGAATAAAATCCGATTTTAAATCTTTATACACGAAAACATAAATAAATATATTTTAATTTAATATATACTGTATTTATTTAAATAATTATATTTCACGTGTAATCGTTTATATATTACGTAATGGAATTTGTTCTATTTATTTTTAGTTTTTCCTTTGTTCGTATAACGAAATACGAACTTTTGTAATTTATTACATAGAAAAAAAAGGTATTTTTTCTCCGATATTTGTTTTCGTAAAATGTTTAATTTACAAATTTATAACGTAATTTATTTACGAAATTAATAACTTTTGTAAATCGTATATTGTAGTTTTTTTGAAGCGTTTAATGTGGTAATAATAGAATCTCACACACAGAAAAACATAGAATTTTATTAGTATTTAATATACAGAGAAATACAGTCGACTCCCTATAACACTGTTGATAATTCCGTTTATATGAATTCCGTGTTGTAAGAGTCACTTAGATTTTACAATTACGTGTGCCGGGCAGTGAACGGCTCACGTATTTGTAAAATCTAAGTGACTCGTACAACATGGAATTCATATAAAACGGAATTATCAACAGTGTTATAGAGGGTCGACTGTAGTAGACAAAGTTTCTAAATGTTACCCGAAAGAATTCTCTTTTAGGAGTGCCGCAACTGCATGGGGTTGTGAACAGGAACAAATTGCTTCTGATGAGTATAAAAGATTACAATACAAAAAACATGAAAATTTTAGTATGAAAGCTTGTGGCCTTCACTTAAATTCGTCCTGGCCTTACATTGGTGCAACACCGGATGGAATCGTAAATTGCAATTGCTGTGGAGCAGGTTTGATAGAAATTAAGTGCCCATGGTGTAAAAGAGATGAAAATATAGAAGAAAACCCTCCAAACTTTCTAAATAGTGAGTAAATTCATACTAAAGAAAGATCATGTGTACTATTATCAAATTCAAACTCAGCTGTTTATTTGCAATGCCAGTTACTGTGATTTTGTTGTTTGGACAAAAAAGTCCATTTACATTGAACGCATTACACGTGATGTTGTGGGCAAGCATTGTGAAACAAAGTAAGGCCTTTTTTGTGCACTGTATTTTAACAGAGCTAATTGTAAAAAAATTTTCTTTCCAGCCAGCTCTACTCTCACAAAAAGATTCAGAAAATGTATAAATTTTATAGAATAAAATGCTTTATTGTACAGCAAATTATTTAGTTTGATGTAAAAATTTCCACTTTTAAGCAAAAAATGAAAACCCAGAAAGTATTACAGTATTGCATAAATATTTTAATTCATTTGACTAATAATCAAAATTTATTTATTTATTTTACATATTATTGGAACTTCAGTAGGCAAAAGATTTCCACCCCCGAATAACAAATTGTTTAATAATAAATTAAAATCATTAATCAAATGGAACTACACTGATAAATTTATTAGAGCACAACAAATTGTGACAATTTTTTCAATTGTTGTTATAGACTCTTTAATTCTAACTGTAAGAAGTTCAATTGGTAGTGTAGACTGCAAGATTCTGTATTGATTTCGGATGCGGCCAATTACTTTTTCTACATGAATCCTCAGATGTGAAAGTTTTCTGCTCTGCATCACGTCTGTAGTTGAAAGTTGTTTCTTTCCTCTTGTGTATGCTGGAAGTAGAAGTTTTGCACAATAGAAACCTACACTGTCAGCTATGTTAAACCCTCTGTCAGCTAAAACAACATCACCGGGATTGAGATAATTTAAAAAGCCAGAATGCTCAGTTAAATATTGGTCACTAACTCTACCTCCCCATGGTTCCGAAATAAATGATACTGTTCCTTGAGGTGTTACTCCTATTAAAAATTTTATGGTGTTATGATGTTTATATTGTGACCAAGTCTGAGCTCTAGAGATTAATGATGAAGGTCTATCAATAAAAATTTCAAAACAGTCTATTATTACAGCAACATTTTCTCCAAGACAGTTTTTAAACACATTAGGCATTGTTTGCTGTAAAATGTTCCTATCTGGCCAGTGAATTAAATCAGACAAACGAACGTACAAAACATTTGTCCATTTTTCAAGGATTCTTGAAACTGTTGATCGTGAAACATGAAACCTGTATGCAAGATCTTGATGACATAAATTCATTCTGAATCTCATCAAACACATCAAAAATTCCTGAAACTGTGTTAATTTGCTTTTTTCTGAGTGTTGAACAGCAGCAGAACACATGTCAAATACAGCCAGAAGGACATTGAAGTTTATCACTCCTGTAAAAAATTTTGTTTTTTTATCATTTCCTTGAAATGACTGAAGTGAATAATAATCATTTATGGTGGCTGTTGCTTTTAATGTTGCCAGTTCTCTCCGAAGTGCATCACATTCCTGTTCCAAATTATATATCATAGTGGAAGTAAGTTCTGTTTGTAACATTGATGCAACTCCTTTTTTGTTTTCAGTTTGCGTGTAAACAGTACTCTTTCCATTATCGCACAAATCTGAAGCTGATTTTAAATTTACAACACTTTCTGAAACTTCTTCATTGGAAGAAACTTCAGTCTGATGCACTTTTTCACACTGTCTACTTTTTCTTCTTCGCATAGCACGTTCATATCGTTCTTTTCTTGCTCTTGCTTCCTTAGATCTGCTACTTTCTCCCATGTTTATTGTTGGGGCCCAATCTGGAGATTCTAAATCATACAGCTTTGCTGGTTTTCCTTTAAATAAAAAATAGTTTCACAATAAGTTTTGCTTACATACACATATACTTTTGTGTTTACAAGTGGAGAAAAATGGGAAGCAGTGAGACAGCAAAATTTATAACAAGTAACTTTACATGAAAGCATTTCTATCATTAGCCCTTGTAATTCATTCTAATATGTTCTTAAATGGCATAACAGTCTGAGAAAATGTAAATAAATATATTCTTCATAAACATTGCTGTTCTATTTAACTAATTTGTTTTCTTCTGTAATTTGGCTTTAAAACATTAAGTCCAGGTATGAAAGAGATATCAAGGTAAGAAGTTTATCTTTTCATTGCACCTTTTACTTAAGTTTGTTTAAATGTTAAGTAAAATCCTACAGTTTATTTGTAACCTTTAAATTAAAAGATAATTGTGTGTGTCACCATATTCATTCTGAAGAAAACAGTGGATTTTATGGTAAGATTTACCCTCCGAATGAGGGGGTCACCACCCCCCCAAAGGGTAGCCCTCCCCTATACGAATTATAAGGTAATGCAATCTCAATTTATAAAAAATAATACCAAAAACAAGACCAATTATGTACATTTACCTGAAATGAAATGTTTATTGCAAACACGTTTATTATCCGTCACAGAGGAATCGGTAAAGTTTTGCCTGTTAATCCTGACAATCCATTCCGTTCGCCTTTGCCGGGAAAGATCTTCGGTTTTTTTACCTTGATGGTTAATTACCGTAGGAATTCGGAAAAATGACCGATCTTTATGCTTTCCGCGGTTGGAATCGCAACCAAATACTACGCAATGAACCATAATAAATTAAAATTGAAAAAATACGAGTTAGATGACAACCAAACCAACAGCAACCAACATGGCGGGCTCTTCTTAAGCGGAGTCGTGTGACGTCACGTGCACCTCCTCTAGTGCTTTAAGTTGTTCGACTCCAAGTAGATCAATTTTAATGTAGTTCTTATTAGTTATATAAAGCCCCATTTATATTTTATGATTATAAGCATTTAATATAAATATTAAAGTAATTCGATTATTTATATATATATTATATTATTTGTTGTGTTTGCGAGTTAATCCTGAAAAATAAATCGTTGTCGTCAAATCTTAACTCGACGGTTTTCGTGTAGTTTATATATTATTATTCACAGAATAATCTAACAACGAGTTGCGTAACTTTCCCGGCCTTTATACGATTTTATTGTTAAAATAACATTTGTACTGTATTACTAATCAAAATAAATAACTAAATCGTATGTGACGCCATCTATTATGAGATTTTGTTATAAAAAACTTTTGCTATTTTATAATAATTAAAAATATTAAAAGACTTAATTTTGAGGATAGATATGAGTTTTATAAAACACTATAAATGCTAAAAAGTAAAATCTTCATTAAGTCTGGCCCTTCACGAGATATATCACGCGATCATCCTCTATCTCTTCATCCCTTTGACCTTTCACAACCAAAATTTAACAGCATCAATGCCCCTTATATACAAGCTACCGTACCAAATTTCATTTCATCTTCACCCGAGATATTAAGCGAAATAGACGCCCACACACACACGATTTTTTTTGCCTTTTTTTGGATTCGGGAGTCTCAAAACGTGGAGATTTACAAAAAACTCTGAAGGTCTATCAATCAACTTATTGAGAATTAAAAGATGGAAAATAGATTTCACTAATCGCCAGTGGCGTAGCTACAAATTTACATTACAAACATTACAACTTTACTTACATACCGATATTTGTGGGATAAATTTAAAAATTGGTACTTTTCAATGAAGTACAGTATAATTTCTGTACAAGACTTAGTTCTTAAAATCTTTAATTAATATTGTCTTGTGAAAAGTTTGAAGTTCCTTCTACTAAATAATTTGAATTCATTATTAAGATAATTATATATTGATAAAGCAAATACAGTAAAACTTCTCTAACACAAACATCTGTAACTCAAATATAAAGCACACTGTAGGTCTCAATGGAATAGCATAGAGATTTAACATCTCCATCTTGAATTTTTCCAAGTTTTTGTGGTCTCCTGACACCAATTTATGTTGCTTTCAACTTCTGACTCGAATTTTAATATTTGTTCTATTCAGTGATCCCAATTATCGGATTTCCATGAAATTTTCAAACAATTAGTTGTATATATTGTCCAATACCCATTTGCAGACATGTTCCAGTCCAAAGCGAGGTGTCCTCTTGTTTTATCTCAACAAGATTTATATGCAAAAATATTCAGTTCCATTAGTTACATTGAACATTTTGCTGAAAGGCATTATACGGGCTATTTAAAACAAAAACTATCAAATATTCTTTATATAATGCAAGAGAGGAAAAAATACAAATCTATTCAGAATCTGTATTTTTTTTACTCTTGTTCTCTAACTCGAAACATCTGTAACTCAAAGTTTTTTACTATCCCTTGGAGCTTAGAGTTAGAGAAGTTTTACTGTAATTTATTAATATATTTGATTTATGAACATGTTCTAAATAAAATACAGCATGTAGTGTAAATCTTTAAAAAAAAGTTAAACATTTTTAAAATTGTTACAGTGTTTGTTTTAATAATAGAAATTAAAATAATTTTTAAATATAACTCCAATAAATACAGAAGAAAAACATCACATTTATTATTTTTTTTTAAATTCACAAAGGAAGACTGTATACTTTCAGGCATAATTTATAAGAAAATATAGTATACTATATATTACATATAAATCATAGTACAAAATAATGTCATATATAATAAATTATATCATGAAATAATTGTTATTTTTAAAAATAATTAACTTTTCTAAAATTAATTTTTTATATTGAAATTGATAAATATATTTCAATATAAATGATAATTTCTAACATAAAATATGAATTCAAANGGCTATAACAGAAAATAAATATACGATATTCAAATAATTAAAATAACCATTACAAATTTATTATATATTGACATTATATATATATATATAATTAAATACAGTACATTACACTAATAAATATTGTGATTGGAAGGAAGTGTGTGTGAAGGTATCTATCAAAATTCAACAGTTCAAAGGATTGACACACATTTGAATACTATTAATGTAAAATAAAAATTTAGTGAATCCAATGCAAAATTTATTTTAATTATTTTAAGCAACAAACTTGAATAGTTCGGTTTTATTATATCACCAATATATAATTTATATAGTAAAACCTCGTTAAGTCGAAGTTTAAGGAATAAAAACATCCTGAGTTTTGAGTTAGCTTGTTAATTAATACCCAATTTTTTCAATTTTTCAATGGCCATAAATTTTCTATTATTAAGTCATTTCTTACGAAACTGTTCATAAAATGATTACAAAATTAAATACTTGGATTGAATGTCACGCCAACAGTCGTGTTAATTCGAACAGAACATTTAAATTTAAATGTTCTGTTCGAATTCTCTTTTCGATTTTGAATTGCCTGAGGACGACGTACATATTTACGTTGAAAGAGCTTGCAAGATTAAAATATTCCTTTTAATTCTCTTTAACGCCTCCTAATCTGAAGTTTCTAATTGAATTGATTACAAAATTATATACAATTTATGGCACTTTTGAGTTTGTTGTCAAGGCTCCTGCTTGTATCCCAATCAAATGCCAATAACATATTATCAATAAAAGGATGATTACATACAGTTGTAATTACATATTATTGTGTTTGGCATGGAGCTGTAATGTTTGTTTATCTTAATTGTCTATTCACACAGAAGAGAAAATGAAAATTATAGATCTATCAAAGGGTGGAGGGTACACAGGAAAATAGGTTTGAATTAAAAGTACTGACAATTTCGACTTAATGAGACTGTACTATATAGAAAACCTTATAAACTGTGTCTGGTATCTGTGGACAACTTTGAGTTCACAGAGTTTGATTTAGTGAGATTTTACTGCACTACAACTTAAAACAAGATTACTGTATTTCTTGAAATAATCATCCATTTAACCTGTATTGTGAGGTAAACTGCACTAGTTGACTTAAATACTGGTATATAAATAGTGGCATTTGATATTATTGAGTAACTGATTATTGATACAATATTTTCCAATATCAAACTCAAAAAACGAATATTGATTAATATTGTTATCAACATTTGATATTATTGATATCAGAAATTATCTAAATTTACAAAGTTAATTAAGACAATTCAAATACATTAGATTATTTTTTATATATTTATCATGATATTCCAATTTAACTAGCTCTTACATTAGTTTTATGTCTCTTTTAACATCATATTTTACTTCAATAACTGCCCAGTGGACAATTATTACAGGAAATAAAGTACAATACATAATCATTTCTTTCATTAATTTAAAAAGCTAGAGACAAATTTAATAAATTAGGCAAGAATAAGTTACATCAAATATATTTCAATAGTCTTGAAAAACCATTCTTAAACACTGTTAGCAAATTTTATAATTGTTTAACATTAAACAGCTACGTGCTATTTATGAAAAGTGTATTTGTGCTCATAGTTATATTTTAATATTGTAATATACTGCTTTGAAACTATCAAAATTAATGTAAAGCGGTTTATTTTAGCAATTGCTAAGTCTACAATTATTTGATATTAAGATTTGATAATATAAATTCATTTCTAATAAGAAATTTTTATATTTCTATAAAATTATCCAATTTAAAATTTAGCATTTTTTATTTAATATTTACAAATTGCATATAAATTATTAAGAATTATTATTTATAAAACCACAATACTTATAGATATTTGATTAGAATATATTGATAATTGTGCAAAATTATGACAATCTTGATAATTGCATTAAATCCGAAGACAGAGAATGAAAGCCCTAAGTTCTATTATATGATGTGATATTTCTTTTAAAAATACACATTGAAATGCTTTGTTAGTTGGTCTATTTTAATTTGGCATTCAATAGCTTTATATAAAATATAATGTATACTGTTTTTCTTAATTCAATTATTAATCTTTATTAATGAAATAAATTTTTTCAAAGTATAAAAATGATTAACAATTTCGTTATGAAATAACGCTGAATTTTAAAAAGTTAAAATGTATTTATTAATATTATTTAATATATTTTACAATTACATAAAAATTAACTGTTTATTTTTACTTTACTAATTTAAAATTATTAATATTTTTCTAAAATAATTTTGAAATTACTTAGTTTTCTTTTAAAAGTATGAAATATTAAAAATAGTTTAATTTTTCAAATGTTTTTTTAAGACTAAAATTTTTGATTTCTGAAAAAAGTATTTCATCATCAAATATTTTTGTGAAAATGTCATAAAAATTTGAATGAAAATTTTTTCTGGTGTGTCAAACATTTTATTATATTTTTATAGTAAACATTTTACTAATGATATGCACTTCACTTAATTACCAACTTAACAACATGAAAAGGAGATTCTGAAAAAAAAAAAAAAAAAAATGCAGAAAAATCNTATAAAAAAAATGTTTTTCTTCTGAAAATATATAAAATTTTTACAAACCTTTGTAGAGACAATCTAAATAATAATACATGGCTTTGGTTCTTTAAAGGGATTATCGGCTTGGCTTATACCTGTTACCAACACATCTGATTTCTCATGTTCTGTACAATACTTCATTAAACTGAAAATTTACATTTAAGTTAACCATTTAATTAAAAAGATTATAGTATTTTAATATAAATATTTCATCTTTTAAATCCTAGAAAGTTGTAAAATTATCTTTAAATAAATAAAGCATAGAAAAAAAAGACTTAAAATTGAAATGAAAAATTTAATTGATCTATTCTAAATAAGAGGAATCTACATTTAGATTAAAACAAAATGTGTCATTTTAAAGCAAATCAATGTAATTAATTATTTCACATACTAACTAATAGTCAATGACTAATATAGTTAATAAAATTAAATTAAAAATGTAAATTCTGGTATATAAACCAGACATCCATCCAAAGCAAGAAACCAAACCTCAATAAAAAACGACTATTGAATTATGTTCTTCAGTAACATTCCAAATGTTATTGTTATTTCAAATAGAATTGCCAACTATCTGGAATTTTCTGAACTATATGAAATTTCAGTTCATGTTTAAAAATTGTTCAGAAAAATGAAATGAGTTGTACATATTTTTAGTTCATCTTTTTTCCTCGTGAGAAGTTAACAGCCTTAATTGTAATCTGAATTATTTTCATTCCTGCTAAGTTACTTTTTTCAGTTTTCTCTCTTTCTGCTCTGTGAATACTAATAAGGTCTTTTTTCAATCTACAAATTACGAATTCACCCAGCAGGCAACAATAGCAAAGTCAGGGCCCAGTATATCAAGACAGACCAGTCCCTGAAAAATCCCAGGGATTTTTCAGGCCATCCTGCTCTCATATCATCAAAACATGTTCATGTTTGTATATCTTTATTTTGTTCATCACTTTGTACATTGTAATGCATTATAATTTTTCTATTTTAAAGTAACGGGGAATAGGTTCCTGGTTAAAATGTTAATACTTAATGTCCTGTTCCTGAACAGATTATTGACATTAATTAATTTCTAACTCTAACAATTGACCCTTGTACATAAATAAAGCTGTTAGATGGCATAAGACAAAAATGCAGACTGGTGTCCAACAGTCTGACTCGACTTTCTCATAATTCACAGACATACAGGACTTCTGGCTTATCCTAAAGAATAGATGCAATCAATATTTTAAATTTAAATAAATTAAGATTACTATATTTTCATCACGTTCTGTCTCTCCATGTTCTGATGAACTGTTATACTAATCCTTTCTACTACCGTAGTAGATAAAAAGTTATTACCAACAGTTCATTTGTTTGAATGAAAACTAAGAATTGAGTTGAAGTGCTGGAAAGTCAATAATATTATTTCAGTGCTAGCAAGTCAATAATATCAGGCAATCAATATTATTATTAATAGAAGCACATATAGCTTGTGCTTCTATTAATAAATGCTCATTTGGTATATAAAGGCTTATGTTAAAAAAGCCTTTATATATTAAGTGAGCATATATATATATATATGCTCACTTAATATAATATATATTCGTGTTATATATATATAACACGAAATAAATTAAAAAAATAAATTTGAACAAGCAAATTTATAATTAATAGCTTAATAATTTAACTGAAAAAGACACAAGAAATGCAGTATTTAAAAATGACGTAGATGTCACTTTCAGATGAAATTTAAATAATTATTCTTTATTTTGGATAATTTGATTTTACGTACTCTTCACACGCTTGAGAAACATTAATTCTTTGTATGTTAGCTTCTTGTCTCAGCTGGAGAACTTGTTGTTTAATTGCTTGAATTTGTGACATATTCCAATGTATACTTGCTGATAAAAGTTTCGATAGATTAATTAGACCACACCTTTGAGAAGGCAAGCCACTACCAGTGTTGCCGGATCTGAAGGTTAAAAAGTAGCGTGGTTGTGCTCCAAAAGTAGCGGATTGAAACTGTTTGTAGCCCAAACAATAAAAATGAATTATTTTGCAACTATGCACTTTTACTAATGAAATAAGTTTGTAATATATGTATATACATACACAGGGTGTATCAGAATGACGTTTTAAAAATTTGGGGTTTGTAGAGGATGAAATTTTGAACGTTTTGATATAAGGAACCTACAGCCGGAAATGAGATACGTATAAAGTTTCTACTGCACTTTGCACGTTCTATGAGGTCGGTATGCTGAATGAAACAACAGAATACTTATTTATGACAAGTTTTATTGACAAAACAGTAGAGTACAATCAAACTGTACATCGAATCAGTGGCTGCACTACTTTAGAGTAAATGTTCAGTGTGACGACCACCAACTTCGTTACATAATGTGCAACGACGAACCATGTTTTGTCCGACTCTCCGTAAGATGCCACGCTCCCCTCTGATGGTATTAAATGCTGTAAAGATGCGCTCCGTAATCTTATGAACTGTTCCTACAGGTGTTGCGTACACAAGGGACTCACGTTGACTAGCTGTGTGTTTACATCAC